ATGTGAAAAGAGCAAATCGTAGAAAGTAACTCCAACAGTAGTGCCTATCCATCTGCCCACCGTGGTTGGCCTGGTTGATGACTACCTATAGTGTCAGACGGTGACACTTGCCAGATGAGTCCTCAACCTAATTAGTGTATGCTTGCAGAAAGCAACAAACTAAATGCGATTGTATAGGGAATTAGAAGCTTATGTTCAACAAAAACTACTGTTTATTAACCTCAAGATTGACGTTGTGATTTGTTCTTCTCTTATTCTATAAACTTAACATAAATTTTTTTGTTTTCTCCGAAACTGCTACGCAAAACGAGCTAGTTAACATGATGTTATCCGTGTATTTTCGTCAGGTAAGGTTTCCTGTAAAGTATACAATAATAGTAATCCATTTATTTTCGTCAAATAAGTTTTACTCTGCAAATTACTTATCCATGTATTTTCGTCAGGTAAACTTCACTCAGAGCCTGATCCATGCACGTTTATCGGGTAAGACGACACGTACACCTAGCAGTAATTTTAAAATTAAGTCAAGTATATTTTGTTCTGTTAATTATTCATGTAATGTTGTTAAATAAAGTATGTTGTGCGTACTATCCAGAAATTTAATTATCGTTTATTTTTCAGGTCTATAAAGGTTACTTAATAACTTCTTTCAAGTACAATTTCTCATTACCTTACTTGTTAATATATCTTCGTCAAGTTAAATATATTGTTTACTTACCAGTAGCCTATTTATCCATTTCTTTCTTTAAATAAATGTACTGTGTACTTACCAGAAATTTACTTATCCAGTTATTTCGTTAAAGAACCCTAAACTATATTTAACAGGATAAGTAAACTGGTGGTTACTACACGAAACATTTACTTAAATAAATAAATGGTTGAGTGATGACTTTGTGCGACTTTTTTATGGATAAGTAATAATTTTTTAAGCTTTCTAAGTGCATTTCTGACCACTACTAAACCGTTTACTTTATCACTGAATATTTGTGAATCAATATAAAATTATTTTTGACACAATGAATTTTAAGAGAGTAACTACCATCACATCCTTCTTATCATATATCCCATTATTTTCCTTCTTCTGTCATATTAATGGCCTTGTAATTAGGAAAGCACAAAAGCTGTTAAATATGCCTAAGCCTAAACTACAGGCGTGAATTAAAACTTCTTAGACAATAACATGTTTAATCTTAATTCTTTCATTACCAAAATTTTATTAGGTCTTACTGCATTCATTTATTGGCTTGAATAATTCGTACGAACGATTCCACCACCGTTTACTGTTGAAAATTCCAAAAATAACGAGAAGAAAAATATAAACAGGATTTCCAATTATTCTGCCAAATGTAAGAAGAAGAAATTTGTTTCGACAAACTTTCAAATAACACTGACTTTCATACAAGAAACATTACTTTTGAACAGAGTGTACCTGAAAAATGACAAAATAACTGATACATAGCAATCAACGACTTTTCAAAGAAGCGCTCTGTCTAGGTTTTGTAAAATTTTATAGTCAACCACTGAATAGAGAAAAAATTGAGAAGTATCTCAGTAGAACTAATCAACCATGGGTTGTTTTTCATTCAGCTACACTTGAAAGTTCTTCAGCTTTTACTGTTGAAACCCCACGCTATCTTTTACACACATAACTTTTATTAACACGTGACATTCCTACTACAGAAAGTAATTACTTCATTTTTTCATATAATTTAATTGTTAACAGCCCTTGAACCACCCCTGAAAAACAATTTTAAAAGGCAAAGCAATTACATTACTTATTGAGTAATTACATTATTTACAGCTATTAGTAATGTACTTCCCTTCTCAGGACTCTCCCCCCCCCCCCGAAGACGGCAGCGTACAAGCAGTCGAAACTAGGATATAAACTAATTGATAAATAGTGTATACTACTAATAATAATACAATTAATGCATTGTGTTTTTAGTTGTATTTTACCACAATGAACCTATATTTATATAGGTCATTATAGGATATGAAGAATGTGTATCATTTATGCTCCTAATTTATTCTTCTGAAGTATTTAATAGATAAACTGTTTAAGATAACAAAAACAAAAATATTTAGTTTTTTAACTATTTAGTAGTTAGAGTTGTGTGATGGTAAAGGCATATAGGAGAGTAATCAACAAATAGTGCGGATCCATGACACACCCATCAGAAAGATGGCATTTATAGCCTTCATAGGTGCCATCTAGTGGAAATTTATAATGCTACATTAAAATCAGTAAATGTTAAATTCTGCAATTGTCCCTATTATATAATATACAATTAATATTCATTCTAGGCTTCGCAAATGTTATTAGTCTGTGTATTCAAGTCTATAGAGTTACTGTGAAAACATTTATTGATTAGCAACATTCAAAATATATACACTGAAATATACTGCGTGAATTTTGTACATAATTATGTTGTCCCATAAAAAGGACATGGATTTATCAGTTAAATAGGTTTAAAGAAGTTCTCGCCATCTACAGTTAGGAAATAGTCCATTCTTAAATTACTTTAATTGGTAGTATGTACCTAACACAAACAACTTAAGTTTGCAAAACTTACTACATAGGTTTCATTATAAAATATATTTAACGTGGTGTAAAATAATAATAGAACTTTCAAAATAATTATATTTCCAAGAAACATTTAAAAATGTTTTAGATGCAACGGCAGGAATAATTAACATCGTAAAAACTTGGTAAAATAATATTATAATTTATTAATATATATTCATGAAATTGTAGAGGGCGGGACGGTAAGAAAACCTGGAACCGAGTACTCGCTGTGAAAAACACTTGGTAGCCCAGGTCCTGTTCGAGTAATAAAAAAAAAACAAATAAAAACCTCTTGAATTACATTTACCGCAACTATTAATATTTTAAGTGCATAATATATTCCGTATTGGAAGCCAGAGGGTGGCGTATTTTTATTGTTAATGGATAGCGGAGTTAGCACTGACATAAACTTAGAAGAAAGTTTATGTTTTCTTTCAGATTTACTTATTAAAAAGAAGAGTAATCGCCCATCTTTTATTTTTCTATAAAAGCTTGAAAGATATACCGTTAGTTAAGAAATTTCAGTATTAATGCAAAACCTGTCTCAACTTCGTCGTTATTAACAAGGTCAAGACCCACGTTTACAACTGTTTGTTGTCATATTTTCGACATTTTATTTTGATTCTCAAGTTAAATTCTCTACTATATTAATGCTTAAACTTTTATTTCATTTCTTAGATAGTCGTTCCTTGATCTTTCAAAAAAAAAACATAAAAAGAAATAACTTAGCATAGAAAAATATGTTTATACCGAAAATAGATGGAAATGCATATTTTACGTGTCCAGTGTAGAAAGTAATGCAGGATTAACATTATCAATCAGTGAAAATAATGTAGTTATTTCTCTTTAGTAAAACCTAAGATTTAGAAGAAGACAAACTTAATAAAAATATAAAACAAAAATATAAATATACGGCACAATAATAGAATAAGTTACATTTTTTAATGAAAATAAAAACAATAAATAACTCGATTGTCATTAAAGTTAGGATAAAGAATTATTGTAAAACGAAGACCGGCTACTGATCAATTCCTAAAGCAAACTATGTCTCTTTGCTTGCAATTTAAAGGCAGGGTACTATTCTAAAAAGTTATCCTATTGTTTATGGTATGAGTTACCCTCTTCAACCGTGCATATTTTATCTATATAACGATCCTAAAATACGGTTTTTGATATTCTAAAAAGTAGATAATAAATATAACTACGTTTAATCTACTGTCTTGTTAACTACCAACAGCTGAAAGTTTAAATTTTGACTTTAATAGAATTTAATACAACACCTTTTGGTCATGCTCTTCTCGAATAATGTATCTGTTACGACAGCGGAAGTCACGTGACGCTAGTAGCGTGCGTGATGAGTTTCTCA